CACACACACACACACACACACACACACACACACACACACACTTTTGATCCCTAACCAAGGCCTCGGACTAATACCTTAGATTCATAGAATCTAAGGATGAGGAGGGAGGTCATTTAGTCTGCCACTCTACCCAATACAGGAATTTCTGACTCTGCCCTTGCTTGGACACCCCTAGTGACAAGGGCCTCATTACTTTAGAAAGAAGGCCATTTTATTATTAGACATTTATAATTGATAGAGAAGTGTTTCTTATAGTTGCCTCTCTGTAACTTCCATCCACTGCTCCTACTTTTGCCCTATGGGCCCACATAGAATAAATCTGCTCTCTTTTCTTTGTGACAGCTATTCAAATATTTGAAGACAGCTGTAATATTCTCTTAAGTCTTTTTTTCTCCAGGCTGTTTAGCCTGGAGAAGAGAACAGCTCCTTCAAGAAAAAAAAAAAAGACATATCTGTATAAAAATAGCCATAGCAGCTTTTTTTTTTCATAAGAGTAAAAAACGAAAAGAACCCATATGGCCAACAATTGGAGAAAAGCTGAACAAACTGTAGTATACAAATGTCATGAAGTATTATTTCATCATAAGAAATGTCAAATACAAAGGATACAGAAAAAGTAAGGAAGTCCTATAGAAAGGAATAGAGTGAAATAAGCAGAATCAGAACCCTCTCCATACGAAGAGGACTGCCTGACAATAAAAAATGGTGACTATAACACAATCCAAAACATAAAGAAAGATTAGAAGAGGAGCCAGAAGCAAATGGAATTGGCTTTTGGTTATTATTTTGGTAAAGCTAATATATGCCTTTTAAAAAAAAAAAGCTATAAGGGGAAAAATGGCACCTTTAATCATTTCTCATTGGAATCCAGTTTTTCTAGCCACTCTACTCTGAATAGACTCCAGTTTGTCAATGTCTCTCCTAAAATGTGGTACTCAGGAAGAAAATCCTCCAGATGGGCCGCCCACCCTCCAGATTGATTCCCTAACCTTGGCAAACCTTGGCTACTGGCTCCTAAATGCCTGCCATTAGTTACCAGGGAAGTGGAAAGAGTGTGAGTGTTTCAGGAAATCCCATCTCCATTACTATAAACACAAGTCAGGTCCGTAGTCCAGAAGGCAGTTTGTTACTTAACTATGAGCCACTTCCCCTCCCCCTAACCAAATGCAAAAAATCCTTGAGGACTATCTAGTCTTGGAGAGTGGTCAAAGAGTCTTGGGTTTCCTTTCCCAGCCTGGCTTTGTGGAACCTTGGACAGGTCTTGTTTCCTCATCTGTAAAATGGAGGCTGGTGGTTTCATCATAGGGCTTTTGAGATGGCAGACTGAGTTCAGCTGCATCCTAGGACTTGGGAAGGTGGGGGATAGGATTAGAAAAAGATCCTCTCCCCTCCCCATACACATAGTAATGTTTAAAGCTCTGAAGTTGTATGGTTGAAGAAACCAACCAGGACGTGAGACATGAGACACACTTAGGGGTTACAGACTGTGTGCAAACAGTACCAGGCTTCTGAAGAGCAGCCAAGAATAGTTCCTTCATTCAATTGTGCAAACATTTATTAAGTTCCTACTACAGGCAAAGCGCTGGTCCCCAAAGACAAAAATGGAAGAATTTGTATCTTCAGGGAGATTACATTGCATCTTGAAAACACAGTTACACAAGAAGCTGAAGGTAAACGAGGGGCCAGTTTTTGCCACTTGTCAGCAACCTGTCCAATTAGTAGTTACCTATGAATTAATTTAGACTCCTAGGGCTCGTAGATCTTCCAGAACCAAAGGAATCAGAAGAATTGAAAGCAGAAGGATGTTGGAGAGGTGGAAAGAACCCATTTTGGTTCTGCTGACTGAAGGGCTGGCAATAGCCTAGACCCCCTGACTTCCCTGTTCTTTCTGCTTACCTTCTTTCTACTTCCCCCACTGACTCCCCTGCCTTGGAAAGAGCCTCTTCCAGTGAATCAACAGAGTCTTTCCTATTAGGAAGAAAGGGAAGCAAGGGCCTCAGTCATTAAAAACTACTTAGAGTGCTCTGGCACCCTGGCTGTTTTATGACCCTTTTGTGTAGAATTATCCCACCCAACTTATATCCTCTAGCGATCCTAAAACTTGAAGACCCAAGGACCAGATATATTTTAGTGGCCTTGGGTTTCTATGCCAATGTATCTCTCCTTCCCAGAGGAGCTTTTAGAATGGGGCAGTTTTCCCAGTTGAGACACAAGAGTTAACATGGCATAGTATCAAGAACAGTAGATTTCAAATTACAGAACCTGGGTTCAAATCCTACCTGTACTATTTACTATCATGGCTACCCTGGGCCAGTCATTGGAATTCTTTAGACCTTAATTTCCTCATCTGTTGTTGGGCTAGATGACTTCTAAGATCCTTTCAGCTCTAAAGCCATAATCCTATTTGCACAGCCCCAGTCAATTCCCTTTCCCTCTCCTGGCCTGTTTCTTCTTTTGTAAAATGAGGGGGATGAGCTATATTATCTACAAGCTTGCTCCATCTCTCAATTCTATGAATTTTTAGAATTCTAGATCTGGAAGGGACCATGCAACATTGACTGTCAGAGTTTAAGGGGTCCATCTAACATAGAATGACAGAGATGGAAAAGACCTTAGAGGACAGCATATCATAGCTGGAAAGAACCTTGAAACAAAATATCAGAACTGGAAGAAACTATACAGCAGAATGTCAGTCAGCCAAATATTTATTAAGCACTCTACTATGTGCTAAATGTCAGAGATGGAAGGAACCTTAGAAATGCTCTGGGCCAAATCCTTTATTTACAAAGGAGGAAACTGAGTTACGGAGACAAGGGATTCATGGTCACATGTTAGCCTCTTTCTGTCCCTACCAGTCTCAGAGTGGGGGGAACCAAAAACATTCCCTTTCCAGAGCTATCTGTAGAAGCAGGAATAGTCTTGGCTTTTCCTTATCTCTATTTTTTCTAATAGTCCAAAGAGCTCTCTCTTCATAAAGGTCTGCCTAGAAGCAAGTGATGCTGCCTGCTCAGCCAATGGGATGACAGGACTCTGCACCTGAACCAAGAACTCCCCTTCCTCCTTGTCCACCGAAGTGGGAGAGGGGTGGCAAGAGCTGAGTTGGGTATTTCCAACTTGGACTTTCACTTCTACTAACTGGGTGGGTTGGCCTTCCCCCTGAACGAATCAAATTCTTCTTCAGCATCAATTTGAAGGGCTGGTCTGGGTGTATCAGGGTCAGAGAACTCAGGACAGCAGAGGAAGTCGGACTAGCGGCGGCTGAAGTCTCTGTGAGGGGTAAACCAGCTGCAAACACCATGGAGGACCAGCGAGACCTCATCTCCAACCATGAGCAGCAGCCCATGCTGGGAGGAAACGCAGGAGGACAACAACGGTACAGAAATTTTAAAAAGGAAAAAAAACTTTCTCTATAAAATCTCGGAGTAGGAAGGGACCTAGCAAATCTAGTCCAATATGAAATGTCTATATGTTTGTATAGCTAGGTATATAGACAGACAGACAGACAGAGATAAG